TACATACATACATACATACATACATGACATATATACATACATACATACATACATACATACATACATACCTACATACATACATACATACATACATACATACATACATGCATACATACATGCATACATGCATTCACACACACACACACATATATATATATATATACGCGCATATTATACACATGTGTGTATACATGTTTTATGTACAGACGTGCATGTTTTGTTGGAAGTACTGAGTGGCTGAACTTGTTGCGTTCATGTGCTTTTCCGTGTTAGGTTTCGGTTTCAACCAACACACAAGAAACCGATGACACCCCAACTCTAAAGGCTTGCCTCCCAAACCTAGCCTAAACCCACTGAACTCGAGGTGTGACGAGTGGGTACGAGTGCCGTCATGGTATTGATCCGAACCTAGAGGCGGGCATTTAGGGTTGGTTGCGGGTTGCAGTCATCACGAACATACATCGGCACCTCTTTGTCCCGTCCCTGCTGCGTAGAAATACTGTATGATAACACTGTGCATTGAGTTCTTTCGGCATTACCCAAACGGGGTAAGCCCAAAACCCAAGACCTGACGTTTAAACCCCGAAGCCCTGCAACATTCTGAACTCTAAGCCTTATAGGCCTTGAGTCCTAAACCCCACCCGACGGTTTAGATCAGACACCACAGACATGATAGGACAAGCAGCTTGATTAGAGCAGACGTTGATGTCAGAATTCAGGAGCCTGGAGTAAGGAGCTACATGTTATAACCTATACAAGCCAGGGTGCGATTTCTGGAGGAAGTATCTTGTAGAAGAGACATGCCTCAATGCTGCAAGCTCCCGCTTGTTTCAGGCCTTCTGCAACTTGACCAGAGCTTCGAAATCTTTCCGGAGACGGTTTCGGGTTTCGGTTTCGGGTTTTCGCGTTTGGGGCCTGCAAGATCGGTTAGGGCTGCATAGCGTTATTGTGAGCGTGTTGCATGGCTTTAGGATTCACAAGGGCTTCATGTTTTGTATAGTGTATAGTAAGTTAACTGAGCTGTAAAGGGGTTCCATATTGGTAGCTTTAGGGCCGAAGGCCCCGCACATAGACTTACTTGTAGGAACTGCGTGGTTGCATTTGTGATAGATTTGCAGCGGAGTCCCAGGATTGCACGCGCAGTTCTCAACCCTAAACCCTGAACCCGAAGCTCCACCCAAATCCCGACAGCCTTCAACTCTTGCAGCTCCAGCATAAATCCTTGAATCCTGAATCCAAACTGAAGCCTACATGAAAGCCGACATGTTGGAGTTTAGAGTTTGGGGCCTACAGGGTTTCTGAACACAGGGTTTGGGCTTTCAGGTACAAGGGGCTTTTGGTTTTGTGGCTTTTGACTTTGCGATGTTTGTGGTTCAGGGCTTTGGTGTTGTGTTGGGGATGTAGGATTCTTTGATTCGAGTGTGGGGTTTCGGGTTCAAGGGGTTTAGGGTTTAGGGTTTAGGGTTTAGGATTTCGGGTTCAAGGGTTCAGGTTGTCGAGGCTTGAGACGACTTTCGGATTTAGGTCGGGGGTTTGGGGTAGAGTTTGACGTGCTTGCGTCTAAATCGTCAGCAATGCTAACGGAGTGCAGTATGGAGTTACTTGGAGTTTGTAGGCTAAGCTGTCAGCACCCATTAGCCGGCATCAACCCCTCAAGGCCATGTGTGCTCCATTCCACGTTCATCTCGACCGCCCCTCAAACCGAAACTGGATCCTGAACCCTAGCCGCCTGAACCCCGATTTAGGGTTTAGGGTTTAGGGCCTAACATTACATCCGCCGGAAAAACGTCTCTAGACCATCCCAAAATCCTCGCCAGATCCGAGGTGAAGGTTGGCTAAAGACTGGGGATCTGGCGACTCTGACATCCAAGGCGGGAAGTTGGGGTTTGGGCTTTTGAGATTGCAGGTCTAGCGCCTAGGGTTCGGGGTTTAGGGGTTTGTTGTTGCGGGTAAAAGGTGTACGGAGGGCGCCAAGGCCTCGGCGGTCTGCTTTTTTGATGTGGGGACCGAGTGGCTCAAGGTTTACGGTTTCGGAATCTGGGGTTTCGAGGTTTAGTGTTTTGAGGTTTTACATGAAGTATGCAGAGATTGCTGAGACTGGGTCCTTGCGCTGGTGTCCAGTCTCCATATGTTCACGCACGCTGAAAGTCCACAAGTCTCCCTAGTTAAATAACTGGTTTGTGGCTTGTGGTTTCGGGTTCGTGCTGCGCACACCCCGAAACTGAAACCGAAATGCCCAGACTCAAAACATCTAAACTTCAGCGGCTTCGTGCCCTTACTAGAAGCCTTTGAGCACTGTCAAACCTTACTTCCTAGACGTCGCTGGTCTTACTTCGGATTCTTCCGCGGACTTTCCAAACCCTGCAGGCAAGAGACTGCGCTGAAGGCTTTCTGTACATTTTGACTCAAAGGCCTCACCTTGTACACCCGAGCTTTCTGGGTTTTCTGAAATCGAGGGCCTGGTGCTCACTGGCCGCTGCAAGGAGATCATCAACAAGGCCCCGGTTGACCGGGAACCAACTTAGAGGGGGTTTGGGGTGTAGGGTTTAGGGTTTAGGTGTTGGGGTTTGAGGGTTCATGCAGGGCTCCTTCTCCTTCTGCATTTCGCCACAAAGGCCGGTGAGAAGCTGTCGCCCTTGCAGCTGCTTGGCTATTTAACGTTGTGGTGTTTGGTTGGGAGTGGCTCGTTTCTGGCTTTATCTACAATGCTGCAGCATGCTCATGTAATCTAATCCCAACTGTAAACCGTAAATAACCCCCAACCCCGAAACCCTAAACCCTCAGCCGACAATCTATAGAAGACAGTGCAGGCGCCTCAAACCTGGTGCAACGAAACCCGGGATTCGGGGTGTTGGATTGTCCGGTGCTGCCCGGAGGGTTAAGCCGCTTTGTTCTTAGCCGTTTTCTGTTGTAAGGTTGGGTACTCCGGTACAGTCGGTGAAGCTGATGGATCCCAGGCTCTGTGGTTGAAGGTTGCAATTTGTATCTGGGTTCCTTTCTTCTTTGCCTGGTACAGGTATCTTTGCGAAACCACGTCTTTTGCTACTAATGGCAACTTTCAGATTCCGATCATGTCTTGCATCTTCTTGGCTATCTCCTCCTGGTACCTTGCAGGGGGTCGGGGGGAATGATACGGAATAGATTCAGAGGGCTTCCTTCTTGTACCTGTTGCTGCGAAACCTTGCAGACCTTCCGGTTCAACACGGGTGCGTAAGACTCATGAGGACTCGTGTTCCGCTCTCTGACATGCCTGCATTCAAGGATTGAGGAAATCTACCTCATGCACGCGGCAGCTTGACTGGAGCGAGTGGACTCGAATCCTGGGTTCTTGTTAAGGGATTTAATTTAAGTTACCA